TCCCTTCCCTTCCCTTCCCCTCCCCTCCCCTCCCCTCCCCTCCCCTCCCCTCCCCTCCTCTCCTCTCCTCTTCTCTCTCTTATTCTCTCTCCCCCTCCTTTCTCTTTCTCCTCTCCTCTCTTTTACTGTCTGTCATATTCTCTCTTTCCTGTCATTCTCTCTCTCTCTCCCCACCCCGTCTCCTCTTTCTCCCCCTCTCCACTCTCTCCTTTTCTCCTCTCTCTGTCATATTCATACTCTCTCTTTCTCTTTCTCTCTCCGCTGTCTCCCCCTCTGTTTTCCCCTTTCCTCTGTCATATTCATTCTTTCTCTCTCTCTCCATCTCTCTGTCTCCCTCTCTCCTTCCCTCTTTCTTGCCTTCCTTCTTTCGCTCTTTCTCTCATCTTCTCTCTCTCTCTCTCTCTCTCTCTCTCTCTCTGACTCATAACTGATCCTCTCTTTGGTCTCTGAGGCTATAAATCAGGAGCTGGCCCATCTTTTTCCTGCAGACCTGCTAGGAGATTGGAACCACCAGGGAGGTGCAGTGTTCGAGTTAGCAGCCCCGCTCCCTATAGACCACATTGCCAGAGCGCCCTGTGCACTCATTTGCAAATTTAAGTAGTGGTGTGGGTATTTTCTCCCATATTTGCTAGTTTCAAGGCCACACCTGGCCCCTTTCTTTGGGTTCACTTGCTGTCTCTTTCTCTTCAAGCAGGGATATACACATTTCTGTCCAGCACGCTGAAGTCTCTGGAAGAGAAGGACCACATCCACCGTGTGCTGGACAAGATCACGGACACGCTGATCCATCTGATGGCCAAAGCCGGGCTCAGCCAGCAGCAGCAGCACCGACGCCTGGCCCAGCTCCTCCTCATCCTCTCTCACATCAGGCACATGAGGTGAGGCAGCCTGGGTCCCATAGAGCATGTCTTTAAAGAAAGAATGTCCCCCATCATGGTGGCAGCCAGCGAGGGTTATTGGGAGTTTGTAAATGCCCTTATAACAGGTGGCACAAAGGGAACTATTCCTGGCACTCGTGGTTGTTGTTGTTAAGTGCCATCGAGTCCGCTCTAACTCGTAGCAACCCTGAATACACAGTGCACAGAGCGAAACCCTTTTCCAACTGGCCCCAACCTCACGATCTCTGCTAGGAAGACACTCTGCCAGTCCGTCTTGCTGAAAGTCTTTCTCTTTCTCGGACCCTTTCCTGGCACACGTGAAGCATAAACACTATCAGGAGACAGAGATTGAAGGTGTGGTTCTGACTGGGGTCCAGCAGTTAGTAAGCGAGCAATTCATTCAAGTCTAAAAACTCTAAAAACAACCCAGCACCGTCCAGCCAGAATACACTCCTAACTTAGGCCCCAGCAGGTTCTTTAGAAGCTGTCAGTTGTGTGAGAGGAGATTGCCCATCGTTCTCCTGTAGAGAAAGTGGTAGATTCGAACCTCTTACCATTGGGTTACCAGCCCAACGCCCTATCCACTACAGCGATAGAGCTCCCAGGCTAGATGCTTCATGGGCATTCAACACTGACTCTCCCTTCCCTCTTCAGCCCCTCTTGTCACATCTTCTGTGATTACCTAGTTCTGACCACTGTTATTTTCTGCACCAGAAAGTTCTCAGGGTAACAAGATGTTTCTTTAAGGTAAGGAGTCTGCTGTGCCGGGAGACCCAGAAGTCAATACGTTTTTGTCTGCTTTCTTTCCCACTGTCCTCTCTGGGACAGCTAGGAAATGGAATTCTCAGTCATAGAAACTCTTAAGTTCATAAGTGATGGCTTCTTCTGAGCACGTCTGGGGGAAGGTGATTTCAGTCTCTGTCCCCAGGGACTTCCCAGGACCCCTGGGAAGCAGACAGAGCTCAGGTGGGCGAGAAGAGCAGAGACACGTTCCTGTCCTTCCCCATCTTTTCCTTTGGATGAAATGGCAGCAAGGGCTGGACCAAAATAGCTGTCCTCTGTCAGAGTTTCTAGCTGAGCAAATACCCTTAGTTTGTGATGGAAACCTACCAGCTTTTACACAGAGCGAGGAGTTTCAGTGACCCTGTGAAACCAGGCATCACAGATGAATATTTTTATTTGTGAGTAGATACTGCTGAAGGTTCACATCGTCGAACTGCTTGTCTGCATTAACAAACCTAATTAGTTAATACTCTGTGTGTTTGCACTTGACTTACAGCCCTTGCTGATGGTGCTGACACCTTAGAGGGAACTGCACTGAAAACATGGCAAAGAGGTTGCTAGTCTGTTGGGAGCTCAGAGCATGCTCCTCCCTCCCTCCTCTCTCTCTCTCTCTCTCTCTCTCTCTCTCTCTCACACACACACATACACACACACACACACACACATACAATCTGGTGCCTCCTTATATCCCATCTGAATCACAGAGCTGTTTGGTTAAGCCTGGCTTCAGCCATATGCTACTAACACTAGATTCCTTCTGATTATAAAAACATTCACTTATAACGGAACTCTGGTGGCCTAGTGGCAAGAAGCTGCACTGCAATCCCAGAAGTACACGGTTCTAATCCACCAGATTCTCTGCTGGAGAAGGAGGGGCAATCTCCTCCTGTACCAGTCAGATCTGATTTGACGGTACACACACACTATAAAAATTAAAAAAGAAAAACAAAACCCATTCACTTATACTAGGAAGACCATGGTAGATCCAGAGGGGATTTAACCTCAACAGCAATTTTAATTAAAAAGAAATAAATGAATAACACCCCTGAGGAAAGTCATTTACATTGCAGCATCTCGGGCCTGACTAGTTTGGATGCTGGCTTTTAGTGGCACATCTCCTACTTGTGCTCACTTCCTCCTCTCCCTATGGAAATTTCAGGAAAGGTGGAAGGGCATGTGAAAATTGGAAGTGGTTCGATGGGATGGATTGATGCAGTGGCTGTGACAATGGACTTGAACATGGTGGAGAATGTGAGGATAGGACAAAGTTCAGATCCGATGTTCATAGGGTGTGTAGGAGACCTGATGGCACATAACAACAAATGTCAAGATTTTCTCAGACATTCTTCTGATCCTTCCTATGCATGACACATCTTTTGGGGTGGGGGAGATTTCAAGCTAGAGATTCTTGATCTTCCTTTCCTTGGTGGTTCAGTGGAGACAGGGCAGGGTCAAGACTGGTAGGGAAGGACAGAGGAGGAAGGTGGTAAAAGGAGAAATGCTATCTCTGTGTTATCACCTGGGTCAACACAGACCTGTCCTCTGAGCATTGGGTGGTAAATGTTCTAGGTCTCTGGTAGAGGACCCAATGAATTAGCTGCCTTCAAGCCAATTCCGACTTCTAGAGACCCAATGTGTGTCAGAATAAAAGTGGGCTCCCTTATATGCTTTTGACTGTAGTATCCACAGAAGCCAAGCTACAGAATTTTCTTTTTCATTGTCTCTGGGTGGATTTGAACTACCAACTTTCAGGTTAGTCAAAGCCCTCAGCTTATTGTTGTTGAGTCGGAACAAAATGGTAACTGACCCTCCAGTGGATTTTAAATCACACAGGAGGAGATTGCCTCTCTTTCTTTCAAGAAGTAGCTGGTGGGTTCGAACTATCTGCCTTTGTGTTGGCACTATAACTCCTTCCCATTATAACACATGCAGATTATTTGCCCCACTTGGGATGAATTGCTAACTGGGAGCCATGGGATTCCTGAAGACCCTTCATCCCTAAAATGCCTCTTAAAATAGGAAGGCTTGGTCTATGAAAACATCCTTGAGTTTTTCTTATTTCCTGTTTTAGTTACAGGAGCACTGGTGACGTGGTCTGTAGGGAGTTGTACACTAACTCAAGGGCTCCTCCTCTGTGGTGGTTCAAATCCACCCGGGGCTCTGTGTGAGAAATGTGGGCAATGACTCATTCTACTTGCAGCCTCAGAAACCCACTGGAGGGTCTGCTGTGAGTGAGCTCTGAGTCCGTGGCGATGAGTTGTTTGAGTTCTGTTTTAGTCATCTGGTGCTGCTTTAACAGCATTATGCCTCAAGCTCTAAGGGAAGGTCCTCTCTGTCCGTCAGTCCTGAAGAAGGTCCTTGTTTCCTTGGGCATCTGCTACCCTCGTGTTCTTGCTGCTATGTCTTGGGCTTCCCTGGTGTCAAGAACCTTCTTAGTGTAGAGACCTGACTGCAGAAAGGACACGCTCAACCCTTGGGGATTCTTTTTTGCCGATCAGAGAAGTCTTCCATCTCTTTGCCTTTTAAGTCTTTGTTTGTTTATTTGTTTGTTTTTAAAATTTATTTATTAATTTTAATGAAAGTTTACAGAGACTTAGGGTTTCCAGTCATTCATTGTTGCACTTTTCTCTGTGCTCACTCCCTCCCTCCCTCCCAAATCACTCTTCTCCTTGAAAAGAAAAACTCTCTAATTGTTATGCAATCCCTCCCCTCTAAGTCCACTCCACTATGCAGCCGTCACTCTGGACTTCTTTAATGACAATAATACCCAACCATATATCCCTTTTGAACAGATCTCTCCCTCATCTCTTTCAATGCAATATACATCATTCCTCTCTTTCTTCTCTGTCTTCCCTCAACCATGAAGTCAGTCGCATTTTACAACAGTGGCCCTATGCAATATTTGTCCTTTTGTGACTGAGATATTTCACTCAGCATAATGTCCTCCAGGGTCATCCATTTTGCATAATATTGCATGAGTTCCTTGTTTTTCAACACAGCATAGTATTCCATTGTGTGAATATACCAGAGCTTCTCTATCCATTCATTTGTTGATTGGGTTGTTTCCAACTCTTTGCTATTGTGAACAAAGTCACGCTAAACATGGGTGTGTACCTCTTTTAACTCTTGTGAAATAAAATGTGTTCTGGGCCACACCCTAGGACTGTGGTAGGTTTGAGAAGTGTTCTGTTCCTCCCTTGGCCCTACAAGCATTGGGTTTGTCAGATCAGGAGGTTTCACTACATAAGTTCCACACAATATCATTACAAACCTGTGTTTGCGGAACACAGGTCCAGCCCTTCCCGCTTCCTCCTTGCTGCAGCGAATGGTGGGCTTGAGGTGGGTCTAAAGTGTGTTTCTCTTGTCTGCTACCTCACAGTAATAAAGGCATGGAACATCTCTACAGCATGAAATGCAAGAACGTGGTGCCCCTCTACGACCTGCTGCTGGAGATGCTGGACGCTCACCGGCTCCATTCGCCAGCCAATCGTGACGGCATCCCTATGGAGGAGACCAATCAGAATCAGCTGGCCACCATGGGCTCCACTTCGGCGCATTCCCTGCCAATGTATTACATCACCGGGGAAGGGGAGGGTTTGCCCAACACCATGTGAGAGCGCCTGGGTGCCCCAAAGCTCTGAGAATCCCTGCAGCCTCCCCCCCAACCCCCACTTCATGCATCACTTTAGTAGAAATCTGTCCGTTCTCACAACTCCAGCATGTGACCAGCCCAGTGGTTTTCCACGCCAAGTGGCCATTCATTTGCTTGTTCAGTTCTTAGTGGCACACATTCTATCGGGAACAGCCAAAGGGATTCCAGAGCTTAAGTCTTGGCAACAGCTAGCGATTACTGAGCCCGCAGCCCCTCATGGCAGAACTCGGTCTACAGCTGGGGCCCGGGTGACTGTGCGTTTAGGCTACTTGTTGAGACTCAGGACTGCTGAGATGGGCCTTCACCTCAGAGAAGCACTTTGCAATGGTTCAAAATGAACGCACAGGAAAGAATTTTAGAGCAGCTCTTTTTCGTTGACTTGGGGAGAGGAAGGTCAGGGGTTCATCCTCTGGATTCCTACAGTCATGTTTCGTTTGAGCAAGACCGCCCTTTGCAGCTTGTGCTCTTTTGTAAGGCTTCCCAGAATCCTTAATTCGTCTCTTCATTGCCACTCTAGGAGCGCACGATTCACACAGAGGTATAAGATGCCCTCGTTGACCAACTACGACAGCATAATTCAACGCACTCTCACACTTGCCCGATGTTCTCCCCTTGGACTTTTTTGAGAGCACAACCATAGGTTGGAGGGTCTGGCTAATTCTTGCTGTCCGTGGCTCTATGGAAAACAGCGAGCTGGTCTCCGTTAGGCCACCCCCACATATGCCAGTCTCCCATGAGCAGGAATAAATTCCCTCGTTCTTGCTTGTTTTCAAAAAGCAAGCCCTCATCCCCAAGTCACATCATAGAAATGGCTTCAGAACCTATTTTGGTGCTGTCTCACAGTCGCCAGCAGACTGCACTCTTTTTGAATTTTCAGGGTGGGCAGGTGGCTTAGAAGGTGACTTCTTCACTGGGACCTTTTAAGTGAATGGGCCTCCCTGATGATGCTTCAGCACTTGGCGGGGGGAGGAGAGGGACGACGTCAGACTCACTAGCAAACCAAACCAAAAGCAAGTCCATTCGTTGTTAGAGAGTTGATCCCAGCTTATAGCAGACCCTGTAGGACCCAGTAGAACTTCCCCACAGGAATTTGCAAACCTCTCAATTTTCATGGAAACACATGGTCACTTCTTTCTCCAGTGGAGCAGCTGGTGGGTTCGAACTTCCATCCTCTTGGTCAGCAGCCAAGCACTAATCCACTGTGCCACCAGAGCGCTAATCCATGAACGTGCCTGACTGTTGCAGGTACTAAGGAACCAGGAACTGGAACTGGAGGTGATTGCGCGGCTGGACCACATCGTAGTGGAGCTCACACTTGGATGGGTGGAGCCAGCCTGGCACCTCCAAAGAGCTTGTCTCAGTATCACTTCTGATCTGGCCCTGCAGGGATAGGTGATGAGAAAGGGCTGCATCCCACAGCAGGCATAGTGCATGCTGAGGGGGGGAAGGCAGGGCTGGGAGCACCCACTCCTTGTATGTCCTTGGTGGTTAGAGTTCAAAATCTATCACTGTCAGAGCTAGTTAGGACAATGGCATCGTGTGGAGCCCAGAGGATCCTGGGAGCATGGGTTGAGAAAGAAGAGGCTTGGCCCGGTCCCCTGGCTCTTTCTTCATACTTTTCCTTCTCTTTATTCTTTTGCATCACATGGGTCATTACATTTTCTCAACTGCAAGATAAGTGCGGTTTCCTCCATGACCTCACTGTCCATGATCCAATCCCAACAATCCAGACGAGCTGCTGCTGGGGCCCCTCTTCGAATGCTTGCTTCAAAAGAGTTCATTCCTCATCTTTCCAAACGCCCCCTTCAAAGGTCACCTTTTAAGTGATAACCGTCAGAGAACTGAGAAACTGGGAGAATTAAAGAAAAAAAAATGTATCTGTGCACCTAAACTTGCGGGAGATTTTGTATGTCTGCATCAAGAGTCTGTTTAGAACACAATTTGTTTTCTGTTGTTGTTTTGTAGAGAGTCGTTTTGATTCAGAATCGGCTCGCCTGGAGTGGGTTGGGTCTGGTTTTGTTTGCTTGAGAAGCACCTTACTTTTTATATAGCGTAATATATTTTTTTGAGATTTCATTGCTTGTTTATCAGACAATTGAATGTAGTAGTTCTGTTCTGGATTTAATTTTGACTGGGATAAGATGCAAAACCAACAATGACAACAGCAAGCCTGTTTTGTTCTTTGATATACTTTTCAAGCTACCTTGTCATGTATGCCATCATTGTTGCCTAAGACCTGATGATTGTTCATTTAAATGAAGATCACGTTTCATATCAACTTTTATATCCACTGTAGACAAAATAGCACTAATCCAGATATGCCTCTTGTTGGGTACTGAATGGTAGACAATCTTCTTAGCAGAGATTATGCCTGAAAAGAAAAATTATTCAGGGCAGCTAATTTTGCTTTTACCAAAATATCAGTAGTAATATTTTTGGACAGTAGCTAATGGGTCAGTGGGTTCTTTTTAATGTTTATACTTAGATTTTCTTTTAAAAAAATAAAAACAAATAAAAAAATACAACAAAGCAACAACTTTAGAACTATAGGTGATGTTATACCAGCTAAATACAAACAGTATAGTGGAAGGTTTTACATTACCCATTTAAAGTGTTTGTATTCGTGTTAAGATACTACTACATATGAAATGGACAGGCTACACCGGATGGCCAGAATGTTAGCCAATGGTCTCAAGTCCTTACAGAATTCTCTTTTTATTCTTATGTGAAGTGCCATGAATGGACAGCATCCACTTGGCTGTGACTGTTGCTGTTGGTTGTAGGGCATACACTGGAGAACTATGAGTTTGGTGTTTTTCTCCCCCCTCTAAGCCAATTTAATGTTTGAAAGACATGACTGGTCCCCCTAGAGGCTTGGCATAGGGAGTAGAGTTGGAGAACATGAAATAGAATGGTGATACTTGAATATTGAAAGACTTTAGAAACAGATCAGTACTGGCATGTGAATATGCCACAAGGTTCAGTGTTCCATTTCTGTGCTGTGAGCAACAAATAACCCGTTCTACTCAACAGCCATTTTTAAAGTGGTGTCTTGGGTTCTAGAAAATGAAAAAATGCCTCCAGCAGTACAGTCCAAGCAATAGCTATGTACTCTGGGTTTCTTTTCATTGTTGCAGGCTCTATGCTTGCCGTAATGATTTTGTAATGCTATCATGCAGCAATAAGAGAGGCTAGGCTCTCCAAAGAGAAAACTCAAGGTAGCATGTCAAATCCAAACCCCTAAGGGAATGCAATCTCTGATCAGATTTCCCTAACACCTTTGCAAATTTGTTTCACCATGCCATATCCTGTGCCTTTGTGAGGCTCAATTAATCGGGAAGGGACTTCCTGAGCATTTACTTTGGATCACACGAAAGCTATCTTCATAATGGGATCTTACACACTCAAGTTGTGACTGACCCAGGCCACTGGTTTCAAGCAGCCCTACATGAAACCAACTCTAAATCCCTTTCTGTCAGACGTTTCAACTCTGGGGTTGATTGTGGATACTGGGAAGGGTCACTAGCACTGCAGTCATGTCTAAAATGTCACTGGTCAATCCACTTGGTGGGGTGGAAAGGGAGTAGGGAGGGGTTTTAGTAATCCTGAAAGGTAAATAGCACATTAGTTTATACGGCAACCATGATTCTCGGGGGTGGGGGGTGGGGTGGGGGGGAGGTCTTTTAAAGTTAATCCAGATTTCTCTGCACTTTTCCCATGTTAACTCTGAAAACTGACTCTCAAAGGGAGTAAATGAATTCAACTCTGGTCCCAAACTTCCTTCTTTATCATTGATGTGATCTGCTGTTTCTACTTGTCGCTCCTTTGCATTTGAATTAAAACGTCGAACTCAGTTAAAGGTGTTCTCTAAGTAGTTGCTGTCTCTATTTATGGCACTTCAAGTTTTGCACTGTCTTTGGAGAGATTCAAGAAACATTTCTATCTTTTTTTAAAAAAAAATTTTGTATTATTATTTGTTTTTGCATCCAAATGTGCCTGAACTTTTTACATGTGTCAATGCTGCCATGTTCCCACCCCCTCTTAAGTGTGTTTGTCCAGAGCTGTGCACCCCAGGAAAAAAACCCACACAGTCCCATGAGCAGGTGCGTGACCCCTTTGAATCAGCAGAGAGGTCATTGGTCATAGAGACTTGAATTAATCAGTGACATTATGCCAGTTTACGTTCTCTCACAGCTTGGAAACAATGCTCCTTGTGCGCCACGTACTCTTCAATGTAGAGCTCTTGTTCTAGGAGGAAAGGCTCAAATATCAAATTGTGTCTGATGGATTACTATACTCTTTTGCTGATGCACACTAGTAATGTGATTCTGTTTCTGTGGCAGCTTTGCTTTGTTTAATGAAACACACTTGTAAACTTTTTTTTTTTTGCACCTTACAGAAAAAAAAAAAAGAAAAAGAAAAAAAAGTGAAAGAATCCAGTGGGATACTAAAGCGCCTGTAAGCAATTTTCTCAACCTATTTGATGTTCAAATAAAGAAAATTGAAGACAACAAAAGGTGTGGCTTTTGTGAGTTCCTCTGTTTGCTAATGGTCCACCACAGAGTTCCTTCGGGTCAAAGGGAAGGCGTCTCACTGTGTAACACTGAGCCCGAATGCCCCCTCACTCCCTCCCCCTCCCCCTGAGTCCACTAGACCTCAGCAGACTACTGAACCAGCACGCCCTGCCTCACTTCTCGGCCCTCCCACACACTCAGGGTCATTCACAAATTTGGAGCTGCTGATTTCTCATTGAGGTGATGGTGATAGGATGAGGATTGAATGGGCTGCTCATTAAAATGGGAATTGCTTGCTAATGTCCAACTCCCATCTCTTCCCCATGAGGGTGAACAAGGGATACCTACTTACCTTGGTGCTTTTGTTATTGTTATGTACCATGGAGTTGGAACTGACTCCTACAGGTTTTCAGAGCCAGTATAATTGCAAGAGGCTTTTAAATACAAA